TGCACCCCAAAAAATGGGGGGGAGCCTCAGGGGAGGTACAAGGATGTTGGGGGCCTGGAGGGGGCTTTTGGGGGGTGCTGAGAGAGGACCCCAAGTGTTGAGGGGGGTCCTGGGAATTTGGGGGGGGCGGTTCCGGGGGGGTCTCACGTGAGCTCCTGCAGCCGCGCAGCCTTGGCCTGCTCCTGGCGCCGCAGCTCCTCGTGCTCCCCCCGCAGCTTCTGCAGCTCCAGCTCCAGGCGCTGCGTCAGGCTGGGGGGGGGAAGGGATGGGGAGGGTCGGGGGGGGAAGGGATGGGGAGGGTCGGGGGGGGATGGGGATGGGGAGGGTCGGGGGGGGATGGGGATGGGGAGGGTCGGGGGGGGAAGGGATGGGGAGGGTCGGGGGGGGGGAAGGGATGGGGAGGGTCGGGGGGGAAGGGATGGGGAGGGTCGGGGGCGGAGGGGATGGGGAGGGTCGGGGGGGAAGGGGATGGGGAGGGTCGGGGGGGGAAGGGGATGGGGAGGATCGGGGGGGGGAAGGGATGGGGAGGGTCGGGGGGGCAGAGGGCTCGAGCTCTGCCCCCCCCAGTCCCATCGCCCCAGTGAAGGGCTGGGGCTGGGAGCAGGGCAGGGGTCGGGGGCAGGTCGGGCCGGGGGGGCCTCACTCACTCCCGCAGCTCATCAATGGTTTTCTGCCGCTCGTTGAGCTCGTCCCGGAGGCGCCCGAGCTGCGAGTGCTGCACCTGGGACATGGGGACAGCGGTGACACCAGGGACAGCAGTGACACCAGTGATACTGGTGACACCAGTGATACCGGTGACACCAGGGACAGCAGGGACACCGGTGACACCAGTGATACCAGTGACACCAGGGGCACTCCAATGCACCCCAGAGACACCTCCCTCCAGTGCTGCGCCAGTGACGCCCCGCAGCGCTCCCTGGTGCCCCCCAGCCACTGCACCCACAACCCCTGCCCCTGACACCCTCCTGCTGCTGCCCCAGCTCAGCACCGGGACCCTCAGCACCCCCAGGGACCCTCCACCCCTCCCGGGGGCCCCAGCACCCCAGGATCATCCTGTACCCCCAGCACCCCAGGAACGCCTCCCCCCACTGCCACATCCCCACCGCCTTCAGGGACCCCCCAGGGTCTTGGCCGCACCAACACCCCCTCACCTTGATTTCGTCCATGTCCTGGGTCTCATCCTGCTTGCGGGCTCCCCCCTGCGCTGTGTCTGTGGGGCAGAGTTCACCATGGGGAGCCCCCCAAGTCCCCCCAGGGCCCAGGTGCTGCTGTGCCCCCAGGTGCCCCCCACTCCGCCCCGCGCCCCGTCCTCACCCTGCGCCTGCAGCCGCGCCAGCTCCTCGCTGAGGGCATCGTTGCTCTCCTCCAGGTTCCGCCTCTTGAGCTCCACCGCCTGCGTGTACTCGGTCAGGGAGCGGATCTTCGCCTCGTGCTGCGGGACCAGCGTCAGCTCCGGCCCTGGGGCACGGGGACACCCCCGGCACCCCCCGGACAGCCCCGGGCTGGGCCACGGGGGCACCAAACCCTGGGACCCTCAATCATGGGGGCACCAAACCCTGAGAGGCTCAATCATGGGGACACCAAGCCCTGGGAACCTCAATCATGGCGACATCAAGCCTTGGGATGCTCAATCATGGGGACACCAAGCCTTGGGATGCTCATTCATGGGGACACCAAGCCTTGGGACCCTCAATCATGGCGACATCAAGCCTTGGGATGCTCATTCATGGGGACACCAAGCCTTGGGACCCTCAATCATGGGGACACCAAACCTTGGGACACTCAATCATGGGGGCACCAAACCCTGGGACACTCAATCATGGGGACACCAAGCCTTGGGATGCTCAGTCATGGGGACACCAAGCCTTGGAGCGCTCAATCAGGGGGACACCAAGTCTTGGGACCCTAAATCATGGGGACACCAAGCCTTGGGACGCTCAATCATGGGGACACCAAGCCTTGGGACCTTCAATCATGGGGACACCAAGCCTTGGGATGCTCAGTCATGGGGACACCAAACCTTGGGACAATCAATCATGGGGGCACCAAACCCTGGGACACTCAATCATGGGGACACCAAGCCTTGGGATGCTCAGTCATGGGGACACCAAGCCTTGGGATGCTCAGTCATGGGGACACCAAACCCTGGGGACTCCGCTCTGGCAGGTCCCCACCTGGGAGATAAGGAGCTGGCAGGAGGAGAGCTCACGCCCGGTCACCTCCATCTTGCGGTGGCATTCAACCTGCAGGTTCTCCAGCTGCCGGCACCGCTTCACCATTGACTTCACCTCTGACTTGATCTTGCTGACATAGAGCCGGGCCACGGCGAACTCCTCCTCGATGGCCCCTGTCACCTCCACCGGCTGCACAGGCATGGGCAGTGTGGTACAGGCATGGACATGGGTTAACATCACACGGGCATGGGCATGGGCATGGACATGGGTTAACATGGCACAGACATGGACATGGGCATGGACATGGGTCAACATGGCACAGACATGGACATGGGCATGGACATGGGTCAACGTGGCACAGATATGGACATGGGCATGGACATGGATCAACATGGCACAGACATGGACATGGGCATGGACATGGGTCAACATGGCACAGACATGGACATGGGCATGGACATGGGTCAACATGGCATGGACATGGACATGGGCATGGACATGGGTCAACATGGCACGGACATGGACATGGGTCAACATGGCATGGACATGGGCGTGGGCATGGGTCAACATGGCACACATGGACATGGGCATGGGTCGACATGGACATGGGCATGGGTCAACATGGTGCAGACATGGATATGGGCATGGACATGGGTCAACATGGCACAGACATGGACATGGGCATGGACATGCGTCAACATGGCATGGACATGGGCATGAGCATGAGTCAACATGGCACAGACATGGACATGGGTCAACATGGCATGGACATAGGCATGGACATGGACATGAGTCAACATGGTACAGACATGGACATGGGCATGGACATGGACATGGGTCAACATGGCATGGACATGGGCATGGACATGGGTCAGCATGGCACAGACATGGACATGGGTCAACATGGCATGGACATGGGCATAGGCAGGGGTCAACACATCACAGGCATGGGCACGACACGGTCATGGCACAGTCTGAGCATGCGCACAGCACACTCATGGCTATGGCATGGCATGAGCATGCCATGAACACCGCATGCACACAACCATGCCCTGGTGTGCCCGAGCGCACCCTATCATGAACATGGGTCCATCACAGACACGGCCCAGTCCCAGCGCAGCACGGGCACATCCCACCCGCGGGTGCCCCTCCTGACTGGGTGCCTGCCCGTGGGTGCCCCTCCCGCTCTCACCAGCTTGATCTCGCCATTGCCCAGGATGAGGCTGAACTCGCTGAGGTCCCTCAGGAGCCCGTTGAGCACCTCGGCTGCCCGCGAGCGCTGCTGCGCCCCGAGATCCAGCACCCGCTGCAGCTCCGACTGCAGCGACAGCGACAGCGCCTGCGGCACAGACACAACACACCAAATAGCCCCAAACCAGCCCCAAACACAACAACAGTGCCTGCTGCATGGACACACCGTACCAAACAGCCCAAACCAGCCCCAAAACCAGCCCCAAAACACTTCAAACACAGCAACAGTGCCTGCGGCACAGACACACTGCACCAAACAGCCCAAAACAGCCCCAAAACCAGCCCCAAAACACTTCAAACACAGCAACAGTGCCTGCGGCACAGACACACTGCACCAAACAGCCCAAAACAGCACAAGACAGCCCCAAAATTACCTGAAAACCAGCCCCAAAATTACCTGAAAACCAGCCCCAAACACACCGACAGTGCCTGTGGCATGGGCACACCGCACCAAACAGCCTAAAACCACCCCCAAACCAGTCCCAAGCAGTGAGAGCACCTGCGGCACAGGCACACTACAACGAACAGCCCTAACCAGCCCAAACGGCCCCAAACCACCCCCAAAACCACCTGAAAACCGGCCCCCAACACAGCGAAAGCGCCTTCGGCACGGACACACTGCACCAAACACCCCAAACCAGCCAAAACCACCCCAAAACCACCCTCAAAACAGCCCAAACACAGCAACAGCACAATTAGCGTGCTCTATCGCCCCCTCCAGGCTGCCGCCGGTACCGCAGCTCGGGTGCTCTGTCGCCCCCGCCAGGCTGCCGCCGGTACCGCAGCCGCTCCGCTCACCTCGGTGCGCGCCAGCTCGTCGCTGAGCCGCCGGTTCTGGCGGCCGCTGTCCTCCGCCTCCTGCGCTTTGCGGTCGTAGCTCCGCGCCAGCTCCTCCAGCGCCGCCAGCACCTCCGTCACCTCGGCCCGGGCCGCGCCGTGCTCCGCCCGCAGCGCCGCCAGCTCCCGCCGCGCAGCCTCGCCCCCTCCCCGCGCTGCCGCCAGCACCTGCAGGGGGAGGGTCCCGGGGGTCATCGTTGGGGGTCGCGAGGGATCGGGACTGGGGGGGGTGTCCAAGGGATCCAGGTGGGGGTCCCAGAGGGGTTCATGGGGGAGGGGTTGAGGTCCAGGGGGTCGTGGTGGGGGTCCCGGGGGTCCCAGTCAGAGAGGTTCCCATGGGCACTGGATTAAGGGTTCAAACGATCAGGGTGGGGGTCCCAGAGGGGTTCAAGGGGGTCCCAGGGGGTCATCAAGGGGTTCCAGCAGGGGAGGAGGTTGCAGGGTCAGTCAGATAGAGATGGAGGACGTGGGGGTTGGAGGGGGACCCTCACCTCCTCCTGGTCCAGCATCTGTTGCTTGAGCTTCTCCATGATCTGGCTTTGCTGGTTGATCTCATCATCCTGGGGAGAGCACAGGGGGGCTCACGCTGGCCCCGAGGGTCTGGGGCAGTGGGGGACATCTCAGGGGGCACCCAGGGGCTGCTGGGGGGTCTGTGGCAGGCCTCTTTGGAGGTGCCCACCTTGTCATCCAGCTGCTTGTAGAGCTTGCGGATCTCCTCCTCATACTTGTGCCGCTCCTCCTCCGAGATGTGGATGACGATGGAGGAGCTGTTGTCGTTCAGGGGGGTCTCGCTGGTGGGTCCTGGCCCCGGCCCCTCGCCCGGCCCCACCTCGGCCTCAGCCCCATTCAACTGCTCCGTCTCGGGCACGGCCTCTCCTGGGGATGTGGCCTCAGCTCAGAGGGGTCCCCTCTTGATACTGGGCTCCCCTCGTGGGCACTGGGGTCCCCTCATGGACAATGGGGTCCCCTCCCGGCCCTGGGGTCCCCCCTCACCGCTCCGCCAGCGGCTCAGCTCAGCCTCCAGCTTCCCGATGGTCTCCTTCAGAGCCTTGTTCTTCTCCTTCTCCTTCTCGTACTTCTTCTTCCACTGCTCGGCCGTGAGCTCCAGGTTCACTGATGCTGTGTTCTTGATGGTCTTGGCCCTGGGGGGGGGGGCATCCCTCAAGTGAGAGCCCTCCCCAACACCCTTGTTCCAGAGATGCCCTGAAGTGCCCCCTACAGAGACTCCCACCAGGGGCCACCGCCAAAGAGGGCTGTTGGGGTGCAGTTGTGTCCCATGGGTGCTGTTGGGTGCAGTTGAGTCCCATGGGTGCTCTTGGGTGCCATGGGTGCAGTTGTGTCCTATGGGTGCAGTTGGGTGCCATGGGTGCTGTTGGGTGCCATGGGTGCAGTTGGGTGCCATGGATGCTGCTGGGTGCCATGGTCGCAGTTGCGTGCCATGGGTGCAGTTGGATGCCATGGGTGCTATTAGGTGACATGGGTGCTATTGGGTGCCATGGGTGCAGTTGGGTTCAATGGGTGCAGTTGTTTCCCATGGATGCATTTTGGTCCAATGGGTGCCATGGGTGCAGCTGTTTCCCATGAGTGCAGTTGGGTACCATGGATGCAGCTGGGTGCAGTTGTGTCCCATGGATACAGTTATGTCCCATGGGGGCAGTTCTGTCCCATGGGTGTAGTTGGGTGCTATGGGTGCAGTTGTGCCCCATGGGTGAAGTTGAGTGCCATGGATGCAGTTGTGTGACATGGGTGCAGTTGGGTCCCATGGGTGCTGTTGGGTGCCATGGGTGCTGTTGTGTCCCATGGATGCAGTTGGGTGCCATGGGTGCTGTTGGGTGGAGTTGGGTGCCATGAGTGCAGTTGTGTCCCATGGCTGCAGTTGGGTGCCATGGGTGCTGTTGGGTGGAGTTGGGTGCCATGGGTGCAGATGTGTCCCACGGGTGGAGTTGGGTGCAGTTGGGTGCCATGGGTGCAGTTGGGTGCCATGGGTGCAGTTGTGTCCCATGGGTGCGGTTGTGTCCCATGGGTGCGGTTGTGTGCCATGGGTGCGGTTGTGTCCCATGGGTGCAGTTGTGTGCCATGGGTTCAGTCGTGTCCCATGGGTGCAGTCGTGTCCCATGGGTTCAGTTGTGTCCCATGGGTTCAGTTGGGTCCCATGGGTGCAGTTGTGCCCCATGGGTGCAGTTGTGCGCCATGGGTGCAGTTGTGTGCCATGGGTGCAGTTGTGTCCCATGGGTGCAGTCATGTCCCATGGGTGCAGTTGTGTCCCATGGGTGCAGTTGTGTCCCATGGGTGCGGTTGTGTCCCATGGGTGCAGTTGTGTCCCATGGGTGCGGTTGTGTCCCATGGGTGCAGTTGTGTGCCATGGGTGCAGTTGTGTCCCATGGGTGCGGTTGTGTCCCATGGGTGCAGTTGTGCCCCATGGATGCAGTTGGGTGCCATGGGTGCAGTTGGGTGCCATGGGTGCAGTTGTGTCCCATGGGTGCAGTTGGGTGCCATGGGTGCAGTTGTGCCCCATGGGTGCAGTTGTGCCCCATGGGTGCGGTTGTGTCCCATGGGTGCAGTTGTGTCCCATGGGTGCGGTTGTGTCCCATGGGCGCAGTTGTGTCCCATGGGTTCAGTCGTGTCCCATGGGTGCAGTTGTGTCCCATGGGTGCAGTTGTGCCCCATGGGTGCGGTTGTCCCCCATGGGTGCGGTTGTGTCCCATGGGTTCAGTCGTGTCCCATGGGTTCAGTCGTGTCCCATGGGTGCGGTTGTGTCCCATGGGTGCAGTTGTGCCCCATGGGTGCGGTTGTGTCCCATGGGTGCGGTTGTGTGCCATGGGTGCAGTTGTGTCCCATGGGTGCAGTTGTGTCCCATGGGTTCAGTCGTGCCCCATGGGTGCAGTTGTGTCCCATGGGTGCAGTTGGGTGCCATGGGTGCTGTTGGGTGGAGTTGGGTGCCATGGGTGCGGTTGTGTCCCATGGGCGCGGTTGTGTCCCATGGGTTCAGTCGTGTCCCATGGGTGCAGTTGTCCCCCATGGGTGCGGTTGTGTCCCATGGGTGCGGTTGTGTCCCATGGGTGCGGTTGTGTCCCATGGGCGCAGTTGTGTGCCATGGGTTCAGTCGTGCCCCATGGGCGCTGTTGGGTGCCCGGCGCTCCCCCCCCACCTCTGCCCGAAGAGCAGCGTGGAGCGGGTCTCGGCGTCGTTGTAGCTGGAGGGGGAGCAGCAGATGAACATGGTGGTGCGGCAGTTCCCGCCCAGCGAGTCCTGCAGGATCCGCGTCATTTTGCTGTCCCGGTAGGGCACGTAAACCTTCTGCGGGAGGGAGCAGCGCTTCAGCACCGCCGCGCGGACAGCGCCCGGCGGGGCAGCGGCAGGGGTGGTTGTGGGGCAGGAGGGGAGGTTGTGGGGCAGGAGGGGTGGTTATGGCGTAACAGGGGTGGTTATGGGGCAGCAGTGGTGGTTGTGGGGCAGGAGGGGTGGTTATGGCGTAACAGGGGTGGTTATGGGGCAGCAGTGGTGGTTGTGGGGCAGGAGGGGTGGTTATGGCGTAACAGGGGTGGTTGTGGGGCAGCAGTGGTGGTTATGGGGCAGCAGTGGTGGCTGTGGGGCAGCAGGGGTGGTTATGGGGCAGCAGTGGTGGCTGTGGGGCAGCAGGGGTGGCTGTGGGGCAGCAGTGGTGGTTATGGGGCAGCAGGGGTGGTTATGGGGCAGCAGGGGTGGCTGTGGGGCAGCAGTGGTGGTTATGGGGCAGCAGTGGTGGTTGTGGGGCAGCAGGGGTGGCTGTGGGGCAGCAGTGGTGGTTGTGGGGCAGCAGGGGTGGCTGTGGGGCAGCAGTGGTGGTTATGGGGCAGCAGTGGTGGTTGTGGGGCAGCAGTGGTGGTTATGGGGCAGCAGGGGTGGCTGTGGGGCAGCAGTGGTGGCTGTGGGGCAGCAGTGGTGGCTGTGGGGCAGCAGTGGTGGCTGTGGGGCAGCAGGGGTGGCTGTGGGGCAGCAGGGGTGGTTATGGGGCAGCAGGGGTGGTTGTGGGGCAGCAGGGGTGGTTATGGGGCAGCAGGGGTGGTTGTGGGGCAGCAGTGGTGGTTATGGGGCAGCAGGGGTGGCTGTGGGGCAGCAGTGGTGGCTGTGGGGCAGCAGTGGTGGCTGTGGGGCACCCCCCGGGTCTCACCGTGCCCTCGGCCAGTGCCGAGATGACGTTGCCCAGCGCCGAGAGCGATTTGTTGATGTTCTTGGCCTCGTCCAGCACCGCTCCCTCGGCCCCGGTCTTGCTGACCTGCGGGGCCGCAGGCTCAGGGACCCCCGTGAGGCCCCCCCGGCCCAGGAGCCCCCCCTAGGGACTGGCCCAGCACCGGGACCCACCTGAGACACCCCCCCCCCCCCCCAGGGCCCCCCAGTCCCAGTCTCCTCCGCCCCCCCCCATCCTGAGCCCCACCGCGGTCCCGCAGCGCCAGGGCCCCCCCACCTTCTCGCTCCCGGCCAGGTCCACCAGGTAGAGCTTCCCGCTGAGCTTCTGCTCCGTCTCCATGTTCTCCTGCTTGATGTTGATGAGGAAGATGCTGTGGCTGCGGGAGCTGTGCTCGTTCATGTCTGCGGGCAGGGCAGAGGCTGCACCCACTGCGCCCCACGGCCCCCCCAGGGCCCTCCGTGCCCCCCCCGTGCTCACTGGTGACCGCCACGTGCCGGTTGGATTTGCCCTCGTCGATCACGTCCAGGATCTCCTCGGGGCTGGACACGAAGCGCTCGGTGCAGCCCTGGGGGGGGGGAAGGAAAGGGGGGGGGTGTTGGGGTCCCGGAGCCCCCCTCTGGGGGTGCCCCCCCCCCCCCCCCCCCGGGCTGCTCCTGACCTTGACGTAGGGAACCCGGTTCTTGTCCTCGTGCACCGAGAGGTTGGTCTTGGTCACTGGGGGGGGACGTGGGGTGGTGACCCCCAGAGGAGCTCCCAGTGCCCCCCAGTGCCCCTCCCTCGCCCCTCCCCCCCCTCCCCCCGCCCCTCCCCCACTCACTGTCCAGCAGGTCCCGGATCTTGTCCAGATAAATTTCAAAGTAAGAAACCTGTGGGGAGGGGGGCGGGGAGGAACCAACCTCTCAGTGCCCGCAGTGCCCCCCAGTGCCCCCAGAGCCCCCCAGTGCTCCCAGTGCTCCCAGTGCTCCCAGTGCTCCCAGTGCCCCCAGTGCTCCCAGGGCCCTCAGAGCCCCCCAGTGCCCCCAGTGCCCCCAGTGCCCCCAGTGCCCTCAGAGCCCCCCAGTGCCCCCAGTGCTCCCAGTGCCCCCAGTGCTCCCAGTGCTCACAGTGCCCCCAGTGCTCCCAGTGCCCTCAGAGCCCCCCAGTGCCCCCAGTGCTCCCAGTGCCCTCAGAGCCCCCCAGTGCTCCCAGTGCCCCCAGTTCCCCCCAGTGCTCCCAGTGCTCCTAGTGCCCTGCAGTGGTCCCAGTGTCCCCCAGTGCTCCCAGTGCTCCCAGTGCCCCCAGTTCCCCCCAGTGCTCCCAGTGCCTCCAGTGCCCCCCAGTGCCCCCAGCATTCTCAGTGCCCCCAGTGCTCCCAGTGCCCCCCAGTGCTCCTAGTGTTCCCAGTGCCCTCCAGTGCTCCCAGTGCCCCCAGTTCCCCCTAGTGCTCCCAGTGCCCTCAGTGCTCCCAGTGCCCTGCAGTGGTCCCAGTGTCCCCCAGTGCTCCCAGTGCCCCCCAGTGCCTGAAGTGTCCCCCAGCATTCCCAGTGCCCCCAGTGCTCCCAGTGCTCCCCAGTGCCTCCAGTGCCCCCCACTGGCCCCCAGTGCCCCCAGTGCTCCCCAATGCTCCCAGTGCCCCCAGTGACCCCTAGTGTGCCCCAGTGCCTGAAGTGCTCCTCAGCACCCCCAGTGCTCCCAGTGCCCACCTTGATGTGGAACTCGAGGTTCTCGTCCATGGCGTAGATGTGGTTGAAGATGTCGCGGGCGATGCGGGGGATGATGCCCATGCCCTGGGGGTCGTGCAGCTTCCCCTGCGCGCCGAGGGGAGAGGAGCAGAGGGACCCCGGTGGGTGCCGCGGACCCGGGGGTGCTGCCCCCCCCCCCCCCATAGCCCCCCCCTCACCTCCATGGTGTGGGTCTTGCCCGAGGATGTCTGCCCATAGGCGAAGATGGTGCCGTTGTACCCGGCCAGCACGTCTGCAGGGGGGAGGGTGCACACGAGCCCCCTTGGGACCCCCCCCGGACCCCCATGGACTCCCCCAGAACCCCAGGGACAGCCAAAAGCTCTGTGACCTCCCCAAGGACCCTGAGATCCCCTCCGAGACCCCCAATGGTCCCCAAGGACCCCTGAGAGACCCCAAAGGACCCCTCAGCACCCTCGAACCTCCCCCAGGTGCTGCGGAGCCCAGGACCTGCTGCACCCCCCCCCCCCCAAAAGGACCCTCCCGAGCATCTCCCCTAGCAAACATCACCCCCCCCCCCCCCCAATCTGCTCCTGTCCACCCCTGCACCCTCCATGTCCCCATGGATGTGGGTGTCCCTGGAGGAGGGTGCCTCAGCCATGACCCCCATAGGGCCCCCCCAAGACCCCCCCCGGCCTCACCCTTGACGATCTGCATGGCGCAGGCATGGTAGACCTGCTCCTGGGTGGTGTTGGGGGGGAACACGCGGTCGAAGACGTAGGTTTTGCCCTGGGGAGGTGTGATGGGGGTCAGGAGACACCCCCAGAAGGTGCTGGGGGGCTGCAGCAGGGTGGGGGGGGGGCGTTCAGCTCCAGTGAACCCCAGTGAGGGAGGTGGAAGGTGGCCGGGGGCCTCTCGCACAGCCCTGGGGCACTCGTACCCCCCCCCCCCCCCGCCATGTACCCTGGAACCCCCACAACCCCCCAGTGTCCTCACCCCCACAGCTACCCCAGACCCCATAAACCTCCCCATAGACTCCCATAGACCCCCAAGCCCCCCATACTGCCCCATAGACTCCCATAGACCTCCAACCCCCCCATACTGCCCCATAGACTCCCATAGACCCCTAACCTCGCCATACTGCCCTATAGACTCTCATAGACCTCCAACCCCCCCCATACTGCCCCATAGACTCCCACAGACCCCTAAATCCACCATACCACCTCATAGACTCCCACAGACCCCCAAGCCTCTATACTGCCTCATAGATTCCCATAGATCCCCAACTCCCCCATACTGCCCCATAGAATCCCATAGACCCCCAACCCCCCCCATACTGCCCCATAGACCCCATAGATACCCAACCCCCCCCATACTGCCCCATAGACCCCATAGATACCCAACCCCCCCCATACTGCCCCATAGACCCCCATAGATACCCACCCCCACCCCCCACCTCATAGACTCCACATATGCTCAATCTCACCCCACAGCTCCATAGACCCCATAGCCCCTCCCAGCCCCTCTGGACACCATCGTAGCCCCCTACTCTCCCATACAGGCCCATAGACCCCCATAGACACCCCCAGCCCCCCATAGACACCTAATCCACTCCTGTACATCTCTACATATACCCATCAGCTACCCATAACTGCCATAGGCCTCCGTAGGCCCCCATAGCACCCCAGCCCCCCGTAGGACCCATAGACCCCCATAGAACCCCAGCCTCCCAAGCCCAATAGACTCCCACTCCCCCCAGCCCCCAATAGGCCCTAGACACCCCCAGCCACCCTACACCCTTAACGCCCCCCACCCCCCCATGGATCCCCAGAGACGCTCAACCCCCTCAGCTCCCCAACGTCCCCGCACCAATATACCCCCAGACCTACATAGGCGCCCATGGAACCCTCAGCCCCCCCAGCTCCCACAGCCCCCATAGCCCCCCACAGCCCCCATGGCCCCCAGCGCCGGTAGGGAGCTGTCCAGGTCCCGGTGCTGAAACGCCGCAGCCACCCCCAACCACCGCATCACGGACACGGGCACCACAGTCCCGCCCGCTCGCGGTCCCGCACCCCTCATCCACCGCCATTGCCGTACCCCCCCCAAAGCCCTGCATCCTCCCCCCCAACCATCCCCGCAACACCCCGCATTGCGCCGGCACAACCGCACAGCGACACCCCCCCCCTACAGCCCCACTGCAGCCCCATGGGAGATGCCCCCTCCCCTCCAAGGAACCCCCGCCTCAGGGCCGGAACCTCCCCGTACCCGGGTGAGGATGTTAATGGGGGGGGGGCGTTATACCGGGGGGCGGGTGTCCCTCAGCCCCCCCCTTCACTACGCCCCTAACAAAGGGCAGGGCCGCAGTGGGGGGGGGCTGCGGCAAAAACAAACCCCCCTCAGTGATGCTTTTGGGTCCCGATCGTGCTTCCCCCGGGGTGTCTCGGCTCATTGTAAACACCACCCCCCCCCGGCACTGGGACAGACTGGGGCAAACTGGGAGCGCTGGAACATCAGGAATGGGGGGGGGAGGGGGCTGAGAAGAAAGCGCTTGAATGGGGGGAGGTCTTTGGGCCACACCCAGGGTGACCCCCCCAAACCAGGTTCTACCCCATGAAGCTGACCCATATCCCGTCCCCCTCCCTCAGGCCGGTTGTCCCCCATCCTGGTGACCCTCCCCTCCCCGCACTCACCCCCACCACGACGCTGTCATCGCCCTGGAACACGGGCAGGAACCGGTCCCCACGAAGGATCTCGGCGGGGCTGAGGGGCCGGAACCGGCACAGGACCTTGATGCTGCACTCGGTGCTGGGCTCGGCCATGGCGGCACCGGGGGGCAGTGACAAGAGTTTAGGGGGGAGGACACGGGACCCGGAGAGAGGGCCCAAGGGTGCTTCTGGGACCCGGGAGGGTGCGGGGAGTCACCCGGGGATGCGGGTGATGCCCGAGAGTGCTGCTGACAACAGGAGGGTCAAGTGGTACGCGGGATGCAGGATGCTCTCTGGGGGATGCAGGCTAGTACCCAGGGATGCAGGATGCTCTCCGGGATGCAGGGTGGTACCCAGGGATGCAGGATGGTACCCGGGGGTGCAGGGGGCGGCGGGAGGGCGGTGCCGGGGTGGGGGAAGCTCCGCAGCGCTCCCTGCTCCAGTGACCGCGCCGCTGTCGCCGCTGCAGCCCCGGTACCGGGTGATGGGGAGGGGGGGAACCGCCCCCCGCCCGTTCTCCCCCACCCGCCGTGTTAAGGTGGAGCTGCCAGAACATCTTAAGGTGGACGGAGATGATGGGGGGAACGCTCCCCCCAAAGTGCTGATTCACTGCGGGGGGGTGGGGGGGGGGCAGGACGGTGGCGACTCTGGTCCGGATGGGGGGGGGTGTGTGTCGGCACAGGGCCAGTTCCCTCCCCCCCCCGGGGAATCCACTAGCTCTGACTCATGCCCCTGCCCCCCAGCACTGAGGCCGGGCACATTCGCCTGTGCCCCCCCCCCCATCTCTGCCCCCCAAAACCACGCCTGCATGGAGCCCCCCCTGGCACAGCGCACCCCGAGCACCCTCCCTTATGTCACCCTTGCGGGTACCCTCTGTGTGACCGCCCCCTTGTGTAGCTCCCGTGGGTACCCCCCATGCGCCCCCCACGTCCCCCCTTGTGCCCCCCACATCTCCAGCGCCCCCCCCCGTTGCCCCCTTGCGCTCCCCGCCCCCTCTGCGCAGGCCCCGCCCCACGCGCCATTCCCGCGCAGTTCTCGCGAGATCGGCCCCGCCCGCGGAGGCCGCGCTCGGCTCTTGGCGGACCTGGGCCGGACCCCCCCCGTTACCGACCCCGGGCACTGAGTGCCCCGTTACCGACCCCCTGAAATGGCCGACCCCAAGTATGCCGACCTGCCCGGCATCGTGAGTGCGGGGGGGGCGGCCCAGGGGGTGCGTGAGGGGCTCGCGGGGGCTGTGTGAGACTGAGGGGGTCGGTCGGGTGCAGGGCGGCACCGGGGGGGGTCCCCATGAACTGTGGGAGCTGGGGTGAGGGAGGGGGGATGGCAGAGGGGCTCCAGGTCAGCCCATGGGGTGTTTGGGGGTGCAGAGGCAATGGGAGGTGTTTGTGGGTGCAGGGGCAATGGGAGGTGTTGGGTGTTTGGGAGTGCAGGGGCAATGGGAGGTGTTGGGTGTTTGGGGGGGCAGGGGCAATGGGAGGTGTTGGGTGTTTGGGAGTGCAGGGGCAATGGGAGGTGTTGGGTGTTTGGGAGTGCAGGGGCAATAGGAGGTGTTGGGGGGTGTTTGGGAGTGCAGGGGCAATGGGAGGTGTTGGGGGGTGTTTGTGGGTGCAGGGGCAATGGGAGGTGTTGGGGGGTGTTTGTGGGTGCAGGGGCAATGGGAGGTGTTTGGGGGTGTTTGGGAGTGCAGGGGCAATGGGAGGTGTTGGGGGGTGTTTGGGGGTGCAGGGGCAATGGGAGGTGTTGGGTGTTTGGGGGTGCAGGGGCAATGGGAGGTGTTGGGGGGTGTTTGTGGGTGCAGGGGCAATGGGAGGGGTTGGGGGATGTTTGGGGGCGCAGGGGCAATGGGAGGTGTTGAGGGGTGTTTGTGGGTGCAGGGGCAATGGGAGGTGTTGGGGGGTGTTTGTGGGTGCAGGGGCAATGGGAGGTGTTGGGGGGTGTTTGGGAGTGCAGGGGCAATGGGAGGTGTTTGGGGGGTGCAGGGGCAATTGGAGGTGTTGGGGGGTGTTTGGGGGTCCCTCCCCCCGCTCTCACCGGAGCCCACTCGTGCCCCAGGCCAGGAACGAACCCGATGTCTATGAGACCAGCGACCTGCCCGAGGACGACCAGGCCGAGTTTGAGGCGGTGAGACCCCCCCGGGCCCCCCAGTGCCTGCATCCCCCCCATCCGCCAGGGCCACGGCAGGGTCACTGCCCCACGGACTCATGTCCCGGCCCTGTGCCACCCCCATGCGCTGCCTGTGGTGCCTGGGGGGGGCAGGAAGTGCAGTGCCCCCCATCCTTGGTGTCCCCCCTCCAGTTGTGCCCCTCCCTGTGGCATCCCCATCCTGTGTAACCTGGCTGAGGGCAGCAGGAGCCGGGGGGGGGCAGCACACGGGGGGGGGGGGGGGGAGGAGGGCATCCTGTGAAGGTGGGGTTCACCCCCATAAAATAACCCCAAAAGGCATCAGGGTCCCAGAGACCCCCGGACCTCTCACATCCAGGCCATGGGGCTGCTGCGTGGTGGCTTGGACATGGAGGTGGCACCAGGGGGCTGGCACGGCACAAGGGCTGTGTGGTGCCCCCGGCTCTGCTGGGGAGGCTGAGGTCTGATGGGTGCTCACGGATCACAGACCCTTGGGAATGTGCTCCTGATTGGTGCTGCTGAGGGGAGAGCCAGGATTTAACACCATGAGGCAAGACCCAGGGTGCAGGGAGCGGTTCTGGGGTACAGCCATGGGGCAGTCCCAGCTCCCCAGTTCTGAGGGGGGCAGACAGATCCCTTGGGACACCCAGGACACAGCGGAACGTGTTGTTTCCAGCCAAAACGGCCCCCGTCAGGCCTCGGTCACACCAAAACAGTGCCCAGGACCAGAGCGGTGCCAGCCCAGTGACCCCCTGCATGTTCCTGGGCGGGTTGTGGGGCTGTGGGTGCTGTCCCCTCCCCTCCCTCCTGCCCCCCCCCCCCCGCAGCTTCCCTGTGTCTCTGCCTCTGGCTGTGCTGACCTGACCTGCCTTTTCCCCCCGCGCCCCACCTTTGCTGGACTCTAAGTTTGCACAAGTAAGCCCCGGGTGCTGCTCTGGTGTCGCGTGCTGGGGGGGTGAGGCGCTTCCTGCATGTACCATGGGGTCACCAGTGCCCTGCTATGGGGCTTCCCCTGCCGTGGGGCAGAGGGGAGGCAGTGCTGGGGCTCAGGACACAACGTGCTGCTGCTGTCTCGTCCCTGCTCTCCTTTGCTCTCTTTGCCTGCTGACTGCATGCGCTGCCCTCTTTGTCTTTTGGGACCCCCCCATGGTGGGGCTCCTGCCCCCCAACCACGCTGCCTGCACGCTGTGGGGCAGGACGCAGCTGAGCCTCTATCCCTGCTGAGCAGGGCCCAACTCGAGCTCCTCCAGGCTCTGGCCTTGGTTTTGCCCCCCTGCACCACAGCTGTTGCCTTCTCCAACTCCTGGGGGAGCCACCAGGCTTTGGGCTGCTTGCGGGGGGCCATCCTACCCCCCCCAGCTCGGCTCACGTCTGCCCCAGGGGTTACAGAAGAGCCAGAGCTGGAGAGCGGTGCCAGAGCAGGGGCTTGGCTGCGGCCACCTCGCCCAGCGTGGCCCTGGTTGCCTCCAGCGCTGGTTGCCCCTGGGGGGCCATGGAGGGGGGCAGCCCCATGGCCCCCCTGTGCCCCATGGTGGGGCTGAGCCTCGCTGCAGGGCCACGGAGGGGGCCGGCCCCGGCCCAACCTTCTAATGCGGTTTTGTCTCTTCTCTTCCCCCCCCCTTGCTCTGACTTTCTCACCTCTGGGGAACGCAAGGAGCTGGTAAGAGCCCCCCCCCCCATCGGCTGCTGCGCCGCTGCTCCCGCTGCTGCCCCCTCCCTCCTGCAGCTCCCCCCACGCCTCCCCCAGGCCACGGCGGCTGTGGGGGCTGCCCAGGGGCTGCCGTGGCCTGGAGGAGCCCTTTGGGTGCCTCCCGCAGGGCCCTGATGCTCTGGGGTTCCCCCCCAGGCTCCCAATCTCCACTCATGCTCCAAGCTCTGGGCAAAGCCCCTTTGAGGGGCTGATGTTCTATGACCACCCCTCTGCCCACCATGGGTGGTGGGAGCCACCCCAAGATGTGGGGCAGATGCAGCCCCCTTGGGCTGGGTTCCTCAGACTGCTCATGGGGCTACCAAAGGGTTTCAAGCCTTGGAATTGTGGTCCTGCTGCCAGGAGGACCCAGTGTCCCCACACCGGGCCCTGGGGCCTGTGTCCTGGGGAACATGGGGCTCCCTTTGCCCCTGCTCTGCCCGTCACTGTCCCCACCAAGGCCTTTGGTGCCCTTGTTTGCTGCCTCATCCCTAACCCCAAGTGTTGTGTGCAGGAGGAGCTCACCAGTACCAGCGTGGAGCATCTCATCATCAACCCCAATGCTGCCTATGAGAAGTTCAGGGACAAGCGCCTGGGCACAGAGGGAGTGGGTGAGCCCAGGAGCATGGGGAAGGGTGGCCTGGGGGACACTGGGGGCTTTGGGGTGACCCCTCTGCTCTTCTCCTTTTAGATTTCTCTGACCGCATCACCAAGACCAGGACAACCGGCTATGAGTCTGGGGAGTATGAAATGGTGAGAGCAGAGATGCCCAGAGCATGGGCCCCGCAGGGACATCCCTGCCCCGGGCCACCAGTCACACCAACCTGCCAAGGGTGGAGGTGGGATGGGACCTCTGGAGCTCTGGTCCAATCCAGCTGCTCAAGCAGGGCCACTGGGGTTGCCCAGGAGCATCTCCAAGCATGGTGACTCCACCATCTCCTTTGCCAGCTGTGGCCTTGGCGGTGCTGAGGAGAGGGATGTCCTCCCTCAACCACCATGCTCCTGGTGCTGCCCACACCATGATTGGTGCCATGTTTAGCTTGGTGTCCACCAAGACCTCTGGGGCCTTTTTCAGAGCTGCTTCCCAGTGTATCCTGGTGCAGGGGGCTGGTCTTCTCCCCCCCCAGGGCTTTACACTGCTCCTTGTTTTGCTCCATGAGGTTCCTGTTGACCAATGGGTCCTGTCCAGGTCCCTCTAGACAGCAGACACCAGAAGGTGAGGATGAGGGAAGGATGAAGCTCAGCCTGCCCCATGCTCCAGCCCATTAATGAAGGTTTTGTTAATGAAGGCATCAGCCCCAGTACTGACCCCTGGATACGCTGGTTCTTACTGGCTTCCAGCTGGACTTAGGACTGGTGCTCCCCATCCTCTGGGCTTTGCTTTTGGCCACTTTCAGTGCCCCCCATGGCCCCCTCATCCAGCACAGGCTGCAACAGCTTCTCTTCGAGGCTGTGCCGAAGGCTTTCCTGAGGTCAGCAGGCACTGCCCACGGCTCCACTGTCTCTACCAGGCAGTTCATTGTGGAAGTCCATGGAGCTGGTCAAGCCTGTCCTCCCCTTGGTGAAGCCGTGCTGAGATCTCTTGGTGTTTGTTTGTCATTCATGGACCTGGAAATGGTTTCCAGTTGTAGCCTTAGAGTCACATAAAGCCGGCTTATGGGGAGCTTCTCCCCCAACACCCCAAGACCTTCTCCTCAGGGCTCCTCCATCCAGTCTCCTCCAGCCTGCGTGTGGGCTGGGATTGCCCCAACTCAGGGGCAGGACCTTGC